ATAAAAGAAAAAGTAACCTTTAAATAAGAATTATTATCAGACACGATGGACATTTCATAATGAAAGGGTCAATTCACCAAGAAGACCAAACAATTCTAAATGCATATGCAACCTAATGAGAGTTTTTCTTTCTTTTTTTTTTTGGTATGTGGCCCTAGCGGGATCCAAACCCAGGATTCTCTGGTCCGCAGGCTGATGCTCCAACCGCTGAGCCAAACTGGCCAGGGCTAATGAAAGAGTTTTAAAACATAGAAAGCCTGAACAACAACAGCACTAAAGAGAGAGAGATACAGAAATCAATAATCATAGTAGGAGATGTTAATACTCCCTTCTTGGTAACTGATAGATGAGGCATAAGAACCATTCATTTCTCACTGACTGGGGAGTTTGCTTCCAGATTAAAGAAGGCAGAAGACTTGGTTTAATCTTTTTGTCACCATAATAACTATACCTTTTGTATATATAATACTGACATTCACTAGGAAGAGAAGCTTTATATATAGAAAATATTCTTTAAAGTATGCTCCTTGTTAGTACACATTTCATAAGTAAATATAGAAGGTGGGTTTATGAGGTATGGGTCCCTGAAGAAGGTCACATAAGCTACACAACTCCCTGGGAGTACTTTTTTTTTAATGTTTTTAAAAAATATGTTTTTATTGACTTTTTAGAGAGAGAGGGATGGAGAGAGAGAAATTCCAATGTGAGAGTGAAACATTGATCGGCTGCCTCCTGCACACCCCTACTAGGGATTGAACCTGCAACTCAAGCATGTACCCTGATCGGGAATCAAACCAGGACCTCTCAGTCCATGGATCAACACTCAATTCACTGAGCCACATTGGCTGAGCTCCTGCAAGTATTAATGGAGATATTTTGTAACTCAAATGCTCCTCTCCTATGTGAAATATTACTGTGGGCCTTAGAGTACTCATGTGTCCAATGAAGGAAGATACCCGTGGAGTTGGAATCAATGTCTCTGACTTCTTTGCTTTGTCTTGAGCCTCTTAATTGCTCACTTATCTTTGAGATTTATAACAAAGATTCAGTGAAGGCAGGAGTTTGGGGGAGGATGTTATCAATGGGGAAAAAGGAGGGACATCTGTAATACTTTCAACAATAAAGATTAAAATAATAATAATAATAATAATAATAATAGTAAATATTGATAGTAGGTAAATTCTCTGATATGTGTCAGTTTGATCTACAATCTAACCCCTTGTGTTAACTTAATAGAAAACATGGAAAAATTCACTATGAAATGTTTGAAAAGACTCTCAACTAACTTAAACTAATGGACATTTATAGAATATTACACCCAGCAACTGAAGAGAGCACATTATTTTTGTAGCCATGGGAAGTTCAACAAGATAAATGATAGAGTGGGCCAAAAGACAAGTTTAAATACATTTAAAAATACTGAAATCATACAGTGTTGTTCTCTTGTCACAATGTATTTAAATCAGAAATCAATAACACTAAGGTAGCTGAGAAACCTCAAATTTTAAAAAATTTAATACACTTCTATGAGTAAAGTGGAAAATTTTAAATTTTAAAATTGGATGATAATAAGGCATATCAAAATTATTTGTGGGTTGCTATTAAAACAATGTTTACAGGGAGATTTATAGCTTAAGTGTTTACATTAGAACAGGAGATCTAAAATCAGTCACCTAGTTTTCTACCTAGATAAAGAAGCTAGCTAATAAAAGAAAAGCAAATCAAACCTAAGTAAATCAAAGTGAGAAAATAATAAAGGTTAAGAGTAGAAATCAATACACAGGAAAACAAACATGCAAGAAAAAACTAACAAAGCCAAAATTTGGTGTTTTGAAATGATAAAATTCATAACCCCCTAGCAAGTCTTCCCAAGAAAAATAGGGTAAACAAATATTTTACGATATCAAAATGTATTAGAACTAGAGGTGATAGTTGTACAACACTGTGAATGTACTAAATGCCACTGAATTGTTCATTTTAAAATAGTTAATTTTATGTAAATATCACCTTAATAAATGAGTTGTTAAAATTAAACTATTTCAAAAAACACTTAAAAATCCCCACAGAAATAAAACAGAGGGCATCTCTATATTAATATAATTTTGGTTAAAACAATGCATTTAAACCGATCTGTCAAAACAGCAAGGTCACAATGTCATGTGACAGTGGTCTGAAGGACTTGGAAGTGAGCACTGATCATAGAGAATATACTGAAAATGTGTTCCTAATCCTAAACATTCTGGTCATAAACATCATATAAGTAACTAAAAGTACAACTGCTTAATTTCTTAAAATTTAGTGGTCCTTGAGGGGAATGATTTGAAATAAAATCCAGCTCATGAATTTATTATAATCAGCTTTGTAGCATAGCTATATATAAAAAAAACAAAACCCTATTCTTCCTACTAGAATATATGGTTTCCTTAAGGCACAGGATGATGCCTTGCTTATGTTGACTTTTCATATAAAATTATTATGGTGCACTCTACATATTACTACTTGGTAAACATTTGCTGAGCTAAATTAAACTGTTTGACTTTATAATAGGAATCAGGATATGAGCCCCTCTTAATTCTGATGCCAGGTGAAACTATGCCCATGTAACTATAGCCCAGGAATAAATTTAACAGCCCAGTGGTAAAAGAATTTGGATTCTGGAATCTGTCAGACCTATAATTACTCAGTTTGGTCTCCTACTGACCAATTGTATTAACTATGGTGAATTACCTAACCATTCTGAACTTTTTCTCTTGAGAAGCAAGTTTCCTCATTTCAAAATGGGGATCAAGATAATTTCCAGGACCCAGCATGAAATGATGGTAAAGTAAAAGAATAAGTTAACATTTATTGTTTTCTCATATTTGCGCAACATTTTCTATGGGCACAATAAGAATTCTCATTTAATAATTTAACAATTCAATCAGGTTATTGTTATTCTCAATTTACAAATGAGAAAACTGACAATTAAAAACTGTCCAAAGTCCTATGTGTGGCTGATGGGTAGAGCAGAATTTGAAAAAGAGCCTATGGTCTACCAACCACAGAACAAGAACATAATAAATGCTCAATTAATAGAAGCTATTTATTTATTCTTTCAAAATTCTTTCAAATATACTAGATTAATATAATTTATGATTAGAAGAAAAGCAAATCATTTTAGAGCCATTTTCTCTTTTTAAAAAGTTACAATCATAAGAATATACTCAAAATAGAAGATTAGTTGGACAAAAAGAAATCTAATTAGGAAATAAAGGTATAACATAATTTTCCATTTTATGTTAAACCACCCTATGGCCAAGAGGCAGGAAAAGTAGGAATAGAAACAAAGGTGCATCCCACAGCTTCATGTATGATTTGAGATGCAGAAAGTTCTTCAGGGGAAATTTTTACAAAGCCCAAGGAGATTTTGTGTATGTGTGTGTATATATATATATATATACACACACATACATATATACACACACACACACATATATATATATATATATATATATATATATATATATATATATATGGAGACTTTGTCCCTGAAACATTTAGAATTGAAAGGGGCAGGAAAGAATATTAGAATTAACAGAAAATATTAGAAGAGTAAGAAAACTAATCATAATGAGGCACTAGCTATAGTTAGAAAAATTGTTAATCATCCTTTTTTTTTTTATCCTCACCAGAGGACATTTTTCCATTTTTTATTCAGATAGAGTGGAAGGGAGAGAGAGAGAGAGAGAAACATCGATGTGAAAGGGACACATCGAGTGGCCGCCACCCACACAACCCAACCAGGGCCGGGGACAAACTGCAGCCAAGGTACATGCCCTTAGCGGGAACCAAACCCAGGTCTCTGTGGACCGCAGGCTGACACTCTAACCGCTGAGCCAAATCGGCCAGGGCTGTTAATCATCCTTTACAATGTTAATCGTGGTTGCTTTGTTCTGATTAAAGAAAAGCCCATTCTGACCAGGCTGGGAGGTGAGCGCCTTAAGAGTTTACCTCAGGAATGCTGTCCATTCTCCTAATCTGAGGACAAGGAGGACTACCAGACTCATGGAAAGATTAAAAACCTGATTATCTATCGGAATGCTGGACCCTGGACCCAGGACTGCGACTTGCTGGTGACCAGCCCCTGCAGCCCCCTGCCCACATTCCACCCCCCTTGCCTGTCATTGTTTCTCTATCCTTTAAAAGCAGGTGGCAAATGAGGGGGCTGGGCGGAGCAATTTTATGAGATCCACTATTTTCCCATACTGCCAGTAATATTGGAATAAATGCTCATATATGATTCAACCTTGTCTCTGTTTAATTGGCTCAAGTAGTGACGGGCAGCCTGGACCCATTCGTTGGCTGGTTTCAGAATTATCAGAAAAGATTATTTTTAAATCTACAAAAAAGGGGATACAAATTAAATTAAGCAGTGATTAATAACAGTTAAGTTTGAAAGAGTGACCATTCTATTCCCAGATATTTTTATCTGAAAACTATCTCTATTATATATTTATAAATGTGGTGATTAATAACTTTAGTTTCTTCTGTGCTTGGAAGCTTTAAGTTTTAAAATAATGATTTAGTAATGTTCTTAATTAATTATGCCTATTAGAAATATGCCTACCTGGATCACAAAGCTATTTATGAGGTACTATCTAGTAATGGCAGGAGGAAATGGACACCTTTTTGAGTTCTGACTTTTCAACAATCACCTTATGTGAAAACAGAAATGCCAAGCACACAAAAATGTGTGTTGAATGATGAGAAATTGAAGCACAAAGAAGAAGGGGCTGAAGACTATGTTCTAGGGACATAATCCATACTTGATAAATGTTTGTTGGTAGAGGGAGGGAGGAAGAAAGAAAGGGAAGAGCAAGAAGAGAGAAATAGGGAATTCCAAAAAGACAGCCACGCACAGAATCCTGAGATGGGAAAGGAAAGCTAAGTAGTTTGGTTAGAACGCAGATTTTGTGCAAGTAAGGCAATACAAGCCTAGAGAGGTGAGGTCAAACACTTACCTCAACCCATTGTGAAATAACCTCTTGTAGTCAACATTTATTATACTGATATTTTCTCTTCTAAGTTCTTCAACGGGGCTTAACCGGCCCACCTGTTGAAAACCAGGAGCTTTCTGTTTGACATAATCCCTGTCAAAACCAGGCAACCAATAAATCTGTAAGAAGAAATAGGAAATGTTTCAGTGGACAATCAGCTGTCTTGGTACAAATAGTCATAGAGAATAGACGGAGCCCTGTTCTAGCACTGGTAATAACCTACAGGGAGCAGAGGGAGGTTCTAGCCCTTGACTTAATATTGTCTAATAAACTGCTATAATGGGGCTTTCACCAGGGTTGTTCTGCAACTGAGTTTTCTCAGGTAACATCCTGGGTCAAGGGCCTATTGTGTACAGATAGCCTCACACTAGCCAAAGGGGATGTGGGGTTGGCAGGTGTAGATGAAATGTGGGAATCATAAACATCTCCTTAGGCTGATGATGCTAAACATCATCTTTGAGAAGGCGCATTTCCTGCCAATGGGGAATGCTATTATATTATGACTCATCTGTGCAAATAGTTCCATTGGTATAAAAGACATTTTTTCACTCCCAGGACTCTTCCATATTCTCAGAATTTACGGGATTTGGAATGGTTGACTACCCTAATACAGAGAGTTGCTTCTGAAAAATGTAATGAACAAATAAATATCTGCTCAAATTAGAACCAACCTATCCATCGTTAATTGAAGCCAAGTCCTCAAAACCTTAGTGTTCCCTAGACCCTTTCTAATAGTTCTACCTCAGTGTATGGTGCAGGTCACATCATACAGTCATTACACACATTCCTTTTTAACAGACTGCTGGTATTTCATTTGGTTTGGAATAGCAAAGATCCTCAATGTTTTCCCGCAGTGAAATAAATATAAGTAGGTCATTCTTAGGTTGCCACATGTATAAGCAACAATCTCCATTTCTACAGGGAGCATATTTACATAAGGATCCCAGGGAGTTAAACTGCTATACTCCTGGGACATGCTACCCACCTCCCAACCTCTACCATAAATACTGAGATAGACATACCAGATGTTGCTCAATTTTAGTGTCAAGTATCACTTTTACTACATGGCGTACATATGTGTTTCTGAAAGGATGTTTTGGTGGAGGGCCATTAAGATCAAATATCACGTATTTTTTCGCCTGCTTTGCAATTTTCAATAAATCACTTAGTTTCGGAATCATCTGCTTTCTTGCTTTTTCTTTATCTGCCTCTGATAAGGGTTTCATATTGTGAAATGGTTGGCGCTAAAAATAAATACATCAGAGAATACACTGGCTCCTATCAAAAGCATTTCCCAATTCTCCTGCTATATAGCTCTATACCCAGCCCAACCTCCATGTTGCTCCATTACCATTCAACCCACCAGACCTTTTGAAATACTGGTAATGTCAGGAGGAAATGAACAACTGAGATAAGAGTTGCCAAGGAGAGAAATAAAATATAGACTCCTTAGGTAATTATGATATTTGGAATATTTTTGTCTATATTGAAGAACCTGTTGTATTTGCACTGAGAGACCCTCATGTTCCAGTCCTGACCATCCTTTTCAGACTTTTTTCTATAACTCAAGGTAATATAATCCCTTTTCAGTTGTACCGGCTTCCAACATTTGCTCTCACTATTCTAGAAATAGACTTTGGCTTCAGACTGAATTGGAATCAATCCCAGCTCTATCACTCATTTGTCTTCTTTGCCATAGCCACCTGTTAAAGTCAAGTCATAACCTCAACCTGCAAAGCCCAGTTCAAATGCTACCTCCTTTGTGAAGCCTTCCTTAACTACTCCTGAGCTAAAGAGACTTTGATGGTGTTAAACTCCAATGGCCCACTTTTGTGCCCTGTAATTGTATGTCTCATTCTGCTGTCTGTGGTTATTTGTGGCTGTCTTAGACCAGATTCAAATTCTGGCTTCATATGCTTCTTGCTGTGTAATTTGTAGAACCATTTAAATTCTCAATGTCTTCATTACCCAAACTATAAAATGGGGGATGGGAGGGATAATCTATATATGTCTCAAGATTATTTGAAGATTAAATGTGATGAAATATTTACAGGGTCTAAGAGCATGTCTGGTACATAGAAAAGTGCACAATTCACTTAGTTTCCTCACACTCTACTGCTTCAGCTGGAGAGTAACTCCCACACGGCGAGAACTGTCCATTTTCCTTTGAAATACACAGCATTTCATCCTATCTCAGTCCATACATATTTTAGCTATATTAAATGTAATAGATTACAACTGACATTTACCAATTGTAGATTACTTGTGGGTGAAGTCAGTGAAGCAAGCAGTAGCCACTTCACATTTTCTTTCTTTTTTCTTTTTTTTATCCTCACCCGAGGATATTTTTCCATTTTTTGTACAGATAGAGTGGGGGGGAGAGAGAGGAAGGAGAGAGAAAGAAAAACATCGACGTGAAGGGACACATCGAGTGGCTGCCACCCGCACGACCGACCAGGGCCGGGGACAAACTGCAACCGAAGTACGTGCCCTTAGCGGGAACCGAACCCGGGTCTCTCCGGACCGCAGGCCGACGCTCTAACCGCTGAGCCAAACTGGCCAGGGCCACATTTTCTTAACTCAAATAATCTCTTTCTCTCTGCACAACTTTGTCTTCATTCTCATTCTCACCCTTTTTAATTTTTTTTTTCCTTCCCTTCACCTCCTTAACAAGTAACCCTTTCTCACCTTGCACAATATCCCCCTGCTAGACTAGAAGGCAGCTCATAGAAGCTGAATTGAACATAGTCTACATCTGAGTTAAGGTCTATCATGAAGGGTTTTTTCATCCTCAGGAAAATAGAAATATGCTTCAGGATTCAAGATTTTGTTAGACTCTACCAGATCTAGACCAACTGATTCATCTAAATGTTAAAAGAACAGGATGGCAAAGGCCAAGACAGGATTTAAATGACTATGCTGTGCATAATTTTTTAACAGTCTCTGAATGGGGGGAAAAGAATAGGAAATGCAGTACAGAAAGACATTTATGAACACTTTCCTTTAAAGATAAATTGGACGAAAATTCAAAATAGCAAAAACAATAAAGATTAAGCAACAGGAGAGTTTAAAACTAGTTTCCAGTACATTTTAAATGTTGTTATGGGGTAGATCTAATAGCTGAAGTAAATCAAGTCTCCTTTTTTGTATATAAAATAGGGGACTTCAGTCAGAAAAATAAACAGAAATAAGACAATGCCAGTTTAGACTATCTCCAATATGTGGGTGAATATTTTTAAAAGCCTAGGAAATATTGAGATAAAAATAAAAACAAACTTCCAGTTTTCCACATATAACACCTGGTTCCTCAATTAGAAACAATACTAAAAGGTCTTCGGTTCTCTATGCCTAGGCTTAGAGCAATTGCAAGCAGAAGGGCCAGTGGACAATCCAATGTATCATATTGATTTAAAAATAGGACAATTATCCAAAAACTTGACCACTCAATAGACTATATTTGAGTAGAAATATCTGTAAATATAGAAGAACAATACAGTTTCCTGTTGATACAGTCACCATTACCTTTCTTTTTTTTTTTTTACTAATCCCACTGCTGCAGAAAATCAGATTGCTCAGAGTACTAAGACCATTGAAACAGTGGGAATTTCTAACAATCCCAAGTCCTTTTCCATGTCCCAACCTATAACTGTTATTTTGAGGCCACTGTCAGAAACACTCCTTTTTTTTTTTTTCTCTGTGGTGCTTTCCTATAAATTTCATCATTAAGAATCTACTTTGCAAAAAGCACCACCAGAAGAAATGTACCACAAAAATTATTTTCAGGAGTCACAGAAAATTCTACTGCACATTATCAAGTTATAGCTTTAAATGTTAGTATTCTGATTCAAAACATAACAAATTATTAGCCATTGTATCAGAATTCCTGAAGGGAACAGAGGCAGAATAACTGGCATCAAACCTGTGAGAGTTCAGATGGACTCTGTTGACACTATTTCTTAAAATCCTCTCAGTGCTAAAGTTAAGATCTAAACCAATGATAACAAACTTAATATAATACAAATTAATTATCCCTTTCATTAGTCCAAGCAACATGTCTGTTTAACCTGCTTTAAAAAAGAGAGAGAGAGAGAGATGGTGGACAATACAGATTTATCTAGTATCTGTGAGCTGTTAACAAAAGAGTTATACTTCGCCCTGGCCGGTTTGGCTGAGTGGTTACAGTGTCAACCCACGGACCAGAGTGTCTTGGGTTCGGTTCTCGCTAAAGGCACGTACCTCAGTTGCAGTTTGTCCCCCGCCCCGGTTGGGGTAATGTGGGTGGCAACTGGTCAATGTGTCTCTCTCACATAGATGTTTCTCTCTCTCTTCCTCCCTCTCTCCCTCCCACTCTATCTGAAGATAAATGCAAAAATGTCCTCGGGTGAGGATAAAAAAAGTTACACTTCATTTTCTAGTACTGCCTAACTTTCTTTATTCCTATCTCTATTTACTTTCATGTCCTCGCTGATGAAGACAGCCAAAACCTACTGCTTTCACTAGAGAAAAATCAACAATTTGCCTGGAAAGTTATGCTTCAGGAATTAACTAAAGGCCCATTCTACTCCTCTGAAGTCAAACCAAGATCTTTTTAAAATTTTTATTAAATTTATTGGGGTGACAATGATTAATAAAATTATGTAGGTTTCAAGTGTACAACTGTATTCTACATAATCTATATATTGCACTGTGTATTCACCACCCAAAAGTAAAGTCTCCTTTTGTCAGCCTGTTTTGACCTCTTTTAACCTCTTCTACCTCCCCCTCCTCTTTCCCTCTGGTAACCACCATACTGTTGTCTGTGTTTATGAGTTTTTGTTTGTTTGTTGCCTTGTTTTATATCCCACATGAGTAAAAGCATATGGTTCTTGACTATTTGCATCTTATTTCACTTAGCATGATATTCTCAAGATCCATCATGTTGTCACAAATGGCAGTGTTTCATCTTTTCTTAAGGCTGAGTACTATTCCATTGTATATATGGTATGTACCACATCTTCACTATCCAATCATCCATCGAAGGACACTTAGGTTGTTTCCATGTTTTGACCACTGTGAATAATGTTGCAATGAACATAGGGATACATATATTTTTACAAATAAGTATTTTCAAAAATTTCAGGTAGATACTTAAGAGAGAGATTGCTGGGGTCATATAGTAACTCTAGTCTTAATTTTTTTAGGAAACCCCCTTACTGCTTTTAGTGGTTGTACCAATTTACATCCCACCAGCAGTGTATAAGGGATCCTTTTTCTCCACAACTTCTACAACACTTATTTATTGTCTTGCTAGTAATAGCCATTCTAACAGGTGTGGGGTGGTATTTAATTATGGTTTTGATTTGCATTTCTCTAATGGCTAGTGAGATTGAATACCTTTTCATGTATCTGTTGGTCATTTGTATGTCTTCTTTTTTTTTTTTAATCCTCACCCAAGGACATTTTTCCATTTTTTTGTTCAGATAGGGAGGGAGGGAGAGAGAGGAAGAGAGAGAGAGAGAGAAACATCGACGTGAAAGGGACACATCGAGTGGCTGCCACCCGCACGACCAACCAGGGCCGGGGACAAACTGCAACCGAGTTACATGCCCTTAGCGGGAACCGAACCCGGGTCTCTCTAACCACTGAGCCAAACCGGCCAGGGCTTGTATGTCTTCTTGGGAGAAGAGTCTGTTTGGGTCTCTGCCCATTTTTAATTGGATTTTTGTTGTTGAGTTATATGAGTTTTTTGTATATTTTGGATATTAGCCTCTTATCAAAAATGTTGTTTGAGGATTGTGTAAGGAGCTTCTGGGACAACTTCAAGTATACCAACATTCACTTCATGGGGATGCTAGAAGGAGAAGACAGAGAACAAGAAATTAAAAATCTATATGAAAAAATAATGATGTGAAAATTTTCTACCCTAGTGAAGGAGACATATATTTGAGTGCAGGGAGTGTAGAGAGTCCCAAGCAATATGAACCCAAAGAGGCCCACACCAACACACATCATAATTAAAATGCCAAAGGTTAAAGATGGAATCTTAAAAGCAGCAATATAAATGCAGTTAGTTACCTACAAGAGAGCTCCCATAAGACTGTCAGCTGCTTCCAAATCTTGGCTATTGTCAATAACACTACAATAAACACAGGAATGTATATTTGTTAACCAGTGTCACCACAATAAATTTGATTTTAAAAAAAAGATGGTCAGCTGATTTCTTAACAGAAACTTTGCAGGCCGGAAGGGAGTGACAAGAAATATT